ACGTAATATAAATTGGCTGTCATTATTATTGTTCTCTGGGTCCTAACCTTCTGGGCTGCCTCCATAGTTGGGTCCCTTTTTCTCCATTCTTACTGTTTCTCATTACAAAACCCAGCTATCCCTAAGGCAAATAGTCCTATGTATACAGCAGCTATTATATACTGAAAGCTTTTTACATGACTTTAATTTTCACATTACCTTCAACTATAGCCTGGTGATCATGAGCATAAGTGATTTTCATATTGTTATGGAGATATGAAGACCCAACTGTACAATAGTCCACTTAATAATATAGCATTTCATGCCCATTAAATCCTTTCCTCCTCTTGGCTTATTTCTTCAGGATAAATTCTTAGAAATGTAATTTGATATGGGGGAGGGTGTTGACATTATTTTGATTCTGGATACAGTACATCCTATTGCTCTCCTAAAGAGTTTTAACAGTTATAATTGTCTGCATGCTGTAATTTATTTTTGCAGTCTTCCAGAGATAATTGAGCCATTCATAAAGAATGAGTCACTTTATGAATATGGCACTGAGAGTAAAGAAGGAAGCCCCAGCCCTGCCCAAACTTAAAGTCAAAGCCATAACTAAAACTTTGAGGGACAAGAAAGCAGCTGAAAGGCATCCACAGACACACAAAAAAGAAGATCCACAAGTCACCTGCCTTCTGGAGGGCCAAGACACTGAGACTCTGAAGATAGTCCAAATATCCTTAAAGAGTGCCCCCGGGGGAAACACGCTTGACTATGCCATCATCAAGTTCCCCCGACCATGAAGATGACAGCAGACAACAACACACTTGTGTTCATAGTAGATGTCAAGGCCAGCAAGCACCACATCACACGGGCTGTGAAGAAGCTCTGTGAAACTGATGTGGCCAAGGTCAACATCCTTAGAATAAGAAGAGAGAAGAAAGTATGTGACTTTCTCCTGATTATAGTACTTTGGATGTTCCAGCAAAATTGAGGTCCTTTAACCTGAGGCCAGCTGGCTAATTTTAAATATAATCTTTTTCCATCATGTTAAAAAAAGGGTCTGCCTGGTGATGCAGCGGGTTGAGTGCAGTGCTGTGAAGCTGTCCAAAGCCTCTGCAGCGCGGGCTCAATTCCCAGCCGGCCAGGGAGAAACCCACATGGCATGGCAGAACTCTCCTGTCTGGCCCGCTGCTCCCCTCAGCAGTGTTTTCAGTCCTTCTGCCTGTTCTGCTCCCTCCTCTGTCTCTGGAGAATTCTCTCACCCTCCCGCGGTGCCTCTGGCCTGTACTCTAGTTCTTGTATAAATAAATAAATTTTTGGAAAAAAAAAAGAGAATGAATAGCTTGGCTATAGGTAAGTATTTACAGGCTGGCTAAACAGGGATGTGGAAGTTAGAGAAGCTGAAGGAATAGATAGGGGAGATGATAGCCATGTTTGGGGACCTGCCACCAACTAATCTCAACTACTGCAATAGGTATGTTGTCCTTGTTTACTAGATGTGTATGATTAAGGAATGCAATATTATTTATAAATGGCATATGAAGTGGGCAACTGTTACCAGAAGGGTAAAACTTGTTAACTGGGTCCTGCTGGTCATGTGGTTTACCTCCAGCAAGAGACCTCCTCCTCTTCAAGGATCCTTGATCTGAGGTATAGGTGTTTGAATGAGAGTCGCTCTTCAAATTCTAATTCAAAATATGGAATCCAGGAGGACAGGGCTGACATCCTTCCTCTCTTGCTATTAATCTTGAGATCTACAGACGCTCTAAGGGCCTCAGTTTTATCACCTGTACAATGGGGGTAATAAGGCAGATAATAAATACTTAACAAATTATTCAAGTACAGACTGGTTAAGTAATGTGCCCAGGTATTCTAGTCAGTATGTGGAGAAGCCAGAATCTGGCCCCGGTGCCAGTGCTTCAGTCTGTAAGTCCAGACACAATGTTGAGTAATCTGGGAGGCCTACAATCCTTAGCCTTAAGGGTTGTTGTGTATATTCCAGAATATGGTCCATCTGATATGTGGCTTCAGGTCTTGCTGTTTTACAGAAATTGTCACTCTTGCTAAATTGACCAATGTCTTCCATATTGCCAAACCTAAACTTTTCTGTTTTTATCAACCCTGACCTCTCAATACTATAAGTCTGGTTGACCATTTCCTCATTCTTGACACACTTTCCTCTCTTGACTTTAGCAACAGCACAGTCTCAAAAGTTTCCACTATTCCATTAGCTGGTCTGGTCCTTCTTGGTCTCTTTTTAATCTTTTTTTTTTTTCATCTAAATGTTGCTGTGTCCTGGGATGGTCTCCATTCTTTGCTCTCATCTCTTTCTTTTTCTGTGGGATCTCGTATGTCCCATGACATAATATTTCACCCAAGTGGTATATTTGTTGATGACCCTGTATCAGGCAGGGTTTGGCTGAAGAAATGAGTGGAAATACAAAAACTAAAAGACTTATTGTAAGGAATTTCTTATGTGATTTTAGGGACTTGGAAGGCCAGGCTGTCAGGAAGGTCAGGCTAGAACTCTTGGGCATGGAGTGAAGCTGCTGTCCACAGACAAATTTTTCTTCCTTTAGGGAGACTGGCTGTGCTCTTAATAAAATTCAACAGATTGATTCAGCTCTATCCAGATTATCTAGGAAAATCTCCAATACCTAAGTCCAGCTGATTATGAATTTAGTCACATCTACCAAATACCTTCACAGCAATATCGAGGCTGTAGCCTAAACAAGTTAATGCATGAACTGACCTTCAAAACTCTTGAATTGACAACTTCAACCACAACCTCCCTATTGAGCCTCATATTTAAACATCTAACCATCTATCCGTGATGATCACTTAATGTTTCAAACTTGCCTTTCTCCAATCCACAGGTATGATTCCTTCCTGTCCCTACTCCTGCTTGCTCCACTACCTTCTTTTCCATTCCAGTAAGTGGTACAATCATTGGTTGAAGCCAAAAACTTCAGCATGACCTTTGCTTCTCTGTCTCTCAGCTCTACTTTTAAACAAATCCTATGTTCTCCAGTTCTCAAATAGCTTTCAGATATGCCCATGTCTCACCATCTCCACAGCCCCCACCTTAGCCCACACTCCATCTCCAGTCTGGAAGACTTCCAAAGACATTTAACCAGTCTATGCTTACATTCTTTTTATTAAGATTTATTTATTTATTTATTTATTTATTTATTTATTTATTTATTTTATTTATTTATTTATACAAGCACTGGGTACAGTCAGAAGCGTGGGAGGGTGAGAGAATTCACCAGAGCCAGAGCGGGGAGCAGAACAGGCAGAAGGACTGAAGTACACTGCTGAGAGAAGCAGTGAGTGCGTCAGGAGAGGTCTGCGCGCCATGTGGGACCCTCGCGGGTGGCCATGGACAGAACCGGTACTACAGAGGCTGCGGGCAGCTTCACAGCCCAGCGCTCAACCGCTGCGCCACCAGGAGAGGCCTTCTGCTTACATTCTTTCCTCACTCTCGTACAAGAGCTGGGGTTGTAGGCCAGAAGTGGAGGATTGGAGGTGAGAGGATTCACCAAAGACAGAGGGGGGAGCAGAACAGGTGGATTGAATGAAATACACTGCTGAGGGGAGCAGCGGGCCAGACAGGAGAGGTCTGCTGCACCATGTGGGTCAGCTCCCTGGCAGGGGATCAGACTCTTGCTGTAGTGACTGTGGATAGCTTCATAATGCTGAGACTTAACCCCTTAAGCCACCAGGGAGGCCCCTCCTCACTCTCATTTTTAATCCACTGATTCACCAGAGTGCCTTTTTTATTTTACTTTGTTTTATTTTTTTAAAGATTTATTTTATTTATGCATACAAGAACTGGGCTGTAGGCCAGAGATGAGGAGGATGAGAGGACTTACCAGAGACAGAGTGGGTGGCAGAACAGGCAGATCTACTGAAATACACTGCTGAGGGGAGCAGCAGGGGAGACAGGAGAGATCTGCTGAGCCATGTGGGTTAGCTCCCTGGCTGGGGATTGAACTCATGTGAACTCATGCCACAGTGGCTGGCAATAGGTTGATAGCGCTGAGACTTTAATTCCTGTGCCACCAGGGAGGCCCCAGAGTGCTCCTTGTAAAACATAAACTAGATTCACTCAACTTCCATATTTGAAACTCATCAGTGACTTCCTATTGCCCACAGATTTAAATATACACTTCTAATATTGATGAAGTCTATTTCAAAATTGGTCACAACTTCCTTCCATTCCTGTTTGCATGCCCCTTTTGAAATGTGATTTTGTCATTCCTCCCATAAAGAGAAGTAGTCTTTTTTCCCACCCCTTGGATCTAGGCTGCCTTTGTGACCTCAGTTGATCAATAGAATGTGCTACAAGTGACATCATTTGACTTTTAAGCCTAAGCCTCTAGGCCTTACAGCGTCTGCTTTTGTCTCCTTGGAATGTTCACCTGAGGCCAACACTTGCAGAGGCCTGATCTAGCCTGCTGGAGAGTGAGGGATCTCCAGTAGACAATGGTTAAAGAATTAAAAATATTAACCATTGTTATAAGTGACACACAGCAATTCAGTTCCCAGAAATGGGTTCTCAGAACTCAGGTGGAATTGATAAGAAAAAAACAATTGGTAGATGCTCAGGGCCGTAGAATGCATCCATTCTTCATCTGACAGAGATGAATTCACCTAGGATTCCCTAGACCAACCAGTGAAACTGCACTAATACCAGACAAATATGTGAAGTCTTCTTAGATCATCCAGTCCCAGTCCAGCCCCCAAATAATCATAGCCACACCAGTAAGACAAGGAGAGACTGCTGGTTCTGCTGATCTTGGCTCAAATTGCTGCCTCCCAGAATGGGGAACAAATAAAATGGCTGTTATTTTAAGCTACTGTTTTGGGTTGTTTTGTGACACAGCATTAGATAACAGTTACACTTCACTCACAGTCTCTAAGCGCCTGTGGGTGTGTCACGACACTGACTTCATAATACTTGCACTCTCTCTTGCTCATTCTACTCCAGTTATACCTGCCTGGTCCTGCACCTGTAACATTCTAAGCTCCTTCCTTCCTCCAGGCCTTTGCTTCCTTTGGCCTTTGTGCACTGGGTTCAGTTTCATATTCCAGTATGTATTAAAATGCTATCTTCGGTTTAATTCAAATAGAATGGGACAGTCTTCCAGGACCACTCCTCTATTTAAGTCTCCTGCCAGTTACTCTCATTGTTATGGTTTCTTTCCTTACCACATTTTATGTTTACCTCATTCCTTCATATGCTTCATTGCTTTATTAGAAGGTTAGGCCCACAGTCCTCAATAGGCCGCCACTATCAGTGAACGAGAGTCAGCACACAAGACAGATGCATTCACCTCTCTGGGTGGAGAACATGGCCATTCAGTGAGGTAGCAGAGGAGCCGGAAACCTGGGTGGCAGGCTGAGGGGCACCATGAGGGCTGTTGATCAGGGAGAATGTCTTCAGCAACTCATAGCTGCAAAAATATGTTTCTTTCAGGTCACCCTTCAACAAATTTCAGTCTTCCCTGTCTCCTGGCCTGGGCATCTACCAATTAGATTTTTCTTCTTATCAATCCCACTTGAGTTCTGGGGCGGCTATTATCTTAATCTCAGAGATAAATCTGGAGACTTGGAGTTTGGAAGAACAATTAATTGGTTAAATTTTTACTCATAAACAGAAAACAGAATTTAATTAAATGGATTTTCCTCCTCCAAAATAGTTCATATGAAGTCTTCAAAGATTCAGACCTATTATTATTACTCTTCAAAGTCAGGATCAGGGATATCAGAAGAGAGATTATGACGAAGTTGAGGAAAAACTGTTTTATTATCATTTGCTTAGGCTAAAAAAATCCCTTAAATTCTAAGAACAAAATGCCGTGTATTAGTCAGAAAGCAGGTCTTCAGAACAGGCCTGGGTCTGTCTCCTGACTCTCCCTGCCTCCCTCACACAGTGGTGTGCAGAAGGCAGTGCTGGCAGGCTTCTGGAGGAGGCGTGGGTTACTAGAGTTCTCCAGACCTGGTTTTGTAAGCTTGACTGCATGTGGAGCAATCTCCATCCTCACCAGGGCTGACGTTCACTCCATTAGATGTCATCCTGGGGATCTGCCCTTGGCAGAATTGGTCGCCCCTCTTTTGGACTCCCAGTGCCACAGTTGCCACAGGTGTGGGCACACATCTGTCTTGCTTATCTCTGCATCCTTGGTGTCACTCAGGTCCTAGTACACTGTAGGGATCTGTCCTGGCAGGTGTCCAGTGGTGCATTAGAAACAGCCCTGGGGGAGAACTTGCCTCAGGCCTGTCCTATCTCCCATTCTTTCCAGATTCAAGCATGGACACATTTATTTATTCCACAAAACACTGATGGAGTGCCTGCTGGGTCCTTCCCTGGATGCTGGAGATGCAGGAGTAGAGCAGACCTGCTGGAACTGACAGGTTAATAGAGAGGACAGCTATGTCTATGTAGTACTAAGATGAAGTAGAAGTGACCCAAGCGAGGAGCTGTGTTTTGGGGATTAAGGAAAGATGGGTAACTCTTATTTGGGATCAAGGAAGATCTTGCTCAGGGGGTGCTGTGTTTCTTTCCTTCTTGGGAATGTCTTCCTGTCAGTTAGAGCTTATTTCTAGTATTGTGATGACTGCTCTGGTAAGGTGGGGTGATCCCACACAAAGGCCCTAGTTCATGGCCTTTTGTTTACCTTGTGTCTGGGTCTTAGTTCTAAATCATGGCTTCTAAAAAAACTCCTCACCGCCCAGGAGATGTTTAGACATTTTAAACAAATGGGCTTTATAAATCCAGTATTTTTAGAAATTTCAATTAAATGGGGACCCATCTTATTATCATACTGGTTGGGGAATCTGCTGGCAAGTTTAAGACAGTCAGGGAAGCTAAACATCCTGAAAGCAGAGGACAGTCTGGTTCAAAGAAAAATTGTTGTCAGTTGTACATGACTCTCAAATGCCCTGCCTGACATTCAAGAAGATGCATAACTTGTTTATAGCCATATGAGTCTAAAACCTAATCTTGTTTTATATGTAAACACAGAAGTATTTTCTGCTCAATTTTAATAAACACTGAATTTTCCAGGGGTGCAACTACAGTGTAAATCAAACAAGAATGTTCTTTGTTTTGTCTGGAGCTTTGCTGAGTGATGTTCACCATGTTAGAAACCATGTCACTTGCAACAACACTGACAGCTTTGATACCCAATTTGATTTGCTTGTATTAGTCTGTATTACAACTATTGCATTCATAGTTACTTTAAAATGCCCAAAATAAAGAAAAAGCATTGATAATATATATGTTTTATTTATTTTTTTATTTTTTATTTTTTAAGATTTATTTATTTACTTATACAAGCACTGGGTACAGTCAAAAGTGTGGGAGGGTGAGAGAATTCACCAGAGACAGAGCAGAGAGCAGAATAGGCAGACTGATGAAATACACTACTGAGGGGAGCAGCGGGCGGCAGGAGAGGTCTGTCGTGCCATGTGGGACCCTCCTCCAGTGGCCGGGGATCGAACCGGCGCTCCAGAGGCTGCGGGCAGCTTCGCAACCCAGAGCTCAACCGCTGCGCCACTGGGGAGACAATATATATGTTTTAAAGCAAACACAACAGAGATTATATACCAAGTGCTAAGAAGAGGTATTTGGGTGGTAATATTAAGATAAGTAACTTGAGAATGAGAGCTCAAGGAATCCTTTAGTGGTAGTGAGGTGAGGTAAAAGTTAAAGGGTTACGAAGAGCTAGCGGAGCAAAGGCCCTGAGGTCACAATAGATGGACAAGTCCTGGCCACTGTCAGAATGACTGTATAATTAGAGTGAAAGTGAGCAAGAGGGAGAATGGACGGATTGAGGCTTGAGAAGTGAAAAAGGGACTTGAAATCACAATAAGATTTTATTCTCTGGGGAGTCACTGAGGGATATTAAATTGGGAATAGAATTATATTTATAAAAAAAGTGAGATTGCAGACCTAAGGCCAAGGAAAGTGCAGAACAAGTCTGGAATATTTTGCAGTGCCAGAAAGCTAAAAAGCACTCAAAAAGTGATGGGCAGACACAAGAACCAACTTGAAAGAGCTCTCAGACCAAGCCAGGGATAGTTTGTACAATAGAGATAATAGTGAATTATAACTCAAATAATAGATAAATATCCATGATTTATGCTAAAATGAAAGAATAAGGAATAGATCTTCATTATTTGATTAGATTAATATAAAAGAAAGCAAACATTGTAAAAAATGAACAATGATGTAAATATATATATAAATAAATTTAAAAGATTAAAAAAGAAGTGATGGATATAGAAAATAATCCTTTGACAAATACCACAGTAAAATTGTTGCAGGCAAGAATAATCAATAGAACTAAATTTAGTGGACTAAATATGATTTAAAAAAAGAGCATATTTACATTTCTTGTAGTATCTCCCTTATGAAACTTGATAATTACAAAGGGAAAATTTATAAAGGAGAAACTTGGAGACACCCCTTAGCCAGGTAATCACTCGTCATGGGAAAATTGATGCCCTTGCTTCTGATAAGATGACTGAAAAGGACATATTACTTCTGTGGTGTTTTTGTTAAGAATGCATAACTTGAAAATAATCATGAGTTAACATCAGACAAATTAAAATACAAACTAACTAACTTTCTACAAAATAACTAACTTTCATTTTCAAACATTTTCAAACATTAAAAGACAAAGATGAGAGAAAATATTCACAAAATATCTAACTGACAAGGGGTTATTATATAAGATACATGAAAAACTTACACAATTCAACAATTGAAAAACAAACAACTCAATTAATAAGTGGACAGAGTCGGGCCTCCCCGGTGGCGCAGCGGTTGAGCGCTGGGTTGCGAAGCTGCCCACGGCCTCTGCGGCGCCGGTTCGATCCCCGGCTGCTCCCCGGCCACCGGCGGAGGATCCCGCGTGGCGCGCAGGCCTCTCCTGCCGCCCGCTGCTCCCCTCAGCAGTGTACTTCGGTCCTTCTGCCTGCTCTGCTCCCCGCTCTGGCTCTGGTGGGTTCTCTCACCCTCCCGCGCTTCTGACTGTGCCCAGTGCATGTATAAACAAAAAACAAACAAAATAAATAAATAAAAAAAAACATGCCTCTATAAAAAAAAAAAATAAAAAAAAGATTAATAAGTGGACAGAGTCATGAACAGAAAATTCACCAACCCGGATATCCAGAAGGCCAATAGACATATGAATACAATGTTCATGTTGCTTCCAGTAAGAAAGATGCAGGTTAAAACTATAATGCCAGGCTATCTCACATCTTTGAGAATAGCACATGAGAATGGCATACACTTTAGAAGACCCCCACACTAAGTACTGGAGAGGATGCAGAAAAAGAGAAACCCTACTATACTGTTGGTGGGAAAGTAAGCTGGTGTGTCTATTATGGAAAATGATCTGGATTTACCCTAAAAAAACTAAGAATGGAAATGCTACATAACCTAATAATCCTGCTCTTGAGCATCTATCCATACAACATGAAACTATCAACACAAAAAATTATATGCTCTACAAAGGTTTTTGTGGCACTACAGTAGCTAGGCTATAGAAGGGACTTGAATGTTTATCAACAGATGATTGGATCAAGAAAATGTGGTATATCTGCTCTATGGAATACTATTCAGTTACAAGGAAAGATGAAATGGTGCTGTTTTCAGCAAAATGGAGGGGATTATATACAGAAAAGAAGTTGGACTGATGAAAGCAAATACTGGGTATTTACACAGTGAGTGATTTGATAAAGCAAAATACTCCCCCAAATGAGCAGATTAATAAACACTGTGAGGGCTCCGAGGCTAAGAAGGGTGGGGAAGGGAGAAATGGACAAGGGGATTTAAAAAAAGAGGGGCTATCTCAGACTGGTGAAAATTAAGGAGACAGGACAGCTAAGGATATTGATGGAACAATGGGTGACATTTAAATAAGGTCTGTAGACCTGCTATAGGACAGTATAAATTTCCTGGTATTGATGATGATTATTCTGTGATTATGGAAGTTGGGGAAGCTTGATGAAGGATACATTAGAACTCTTTAATTATTTTTGAAGTTTTTTAATAAAATATGAAACTATTACAAAACAAAAAGTTAGACACATAATGAGTAGTTTTAAAAATCATGCACACAATATTGGGTTCTGATCTGCTATGCGAAAAATGTTATAGTAAGTAGTAGCAGGAGTGGAGGCAGGAAGACCAGTTAGAAAGCTTGAGTAGGTGAATGTGGTTGCATGTGAATAGTGATACGAGGATGGAAGAGAAACATATACTTTCAAAATTGACATAGAATTCACATATCTTAAAATTTATTGTTTTGAAATGTACATTTTGGTACTTTTTAATATATTCTCAAAGTGGAGCAACCATCACCACTACCTAATTTCAGAGCATTTTCAACACTTACCCAAACTACCTACACCCAATTCTCCCCTCTCCCAACCCCTCTAGCAACCACTAATCTTTTTTCTATCTGCAGTGATTGAATGGAATCATATGACGTGTTACCTTTTAGGTCTGGCTTTTTTTTTTTTTTTTTTTTTTTTTTACTAAGTACAATGTTTGTAAGGTTTATGCAGGTCACAGCACCAGTATTTAATTTCTTTTTTTATGGTTGAATATAGATATATCACATTGTGTTTATCTTCTTGTCAGTTTGATGTGCCTTTGGGTTGTTTCTACTTTTGACAATTTTCAATAATGTTGCTATGTACATTCATGTACATACTTTTATATGAGTATATGTTTTCAATGCTTTTGAGTATATATGCCTAGAAGTGAAAATTGCTGGATCATATGGTAACTTTATTTTTAACTCTTTGAGGAACTGCAAAACTGATATGGAGGCTGCCCAATTTTACATTCTGACCAGCAATGTATGAGGGCTGGTATGACCAGCAATGTATGAGGACTCCAATGTCTACACATTTTCATCACACTTGCTATCATTCATTAAAAAAATATATTTATAACTATTCTACTTGGTACCTTATTGTGGTCTTTATTTGCATTTTCCTGGTAATAAATGATATTGAACATCTCTTTTGTGTGCTTATTGACCATTTGTATATCTTCTTTGGAGAAATGTCCATTCAAATCTTTTGTTCATTAAAAAAATTGGTATTTGTATTGTTGTGTTGTAAGAATTCTTTATGTATGTATAGAGATACCATACTTTTATCAGAAGGATGATTTGCACATATTTTCTTCCCTTTAGTGGGATCTTTTTACTTTCTTGATGATATCATTTTATGTAAAAAAGTTTTCAATTTGATGAACACCAATATATCTATTTTTACTTTGGTTATTGTGCTTTTGGTGTTAAGTCTAAAAGCTTGAGACAGAGTGGGGAGCAGAACAGGCAGATAAACTGAAATACATGCTGCAGGGAGCCCCCCCAAACCTCTGGCCTATACCTCCAGTTCTCGTATGCATAAACAAATAAATCTTTCTAAAAAACTAAAAATTTGCCTAAACCAGGATATAAAGATTTACCCTTACGTTCTCTCCTGAGAGTTTAATAGTTTTAGCTCTTACATTTAGATCTTTGGTCCAAGTTAATTTTTGGCTGGGTCCAAATTCATTTTTTAAAAAGATTTATTTATTTATGAATATAAGAGCTGGGGTACATGCCAGAGGGGTGTGTGTGTGTGTGTGTGTGTGTGTGTGTGTGTGTGTGTGTGTGAGAGGATTCATCAGAGACAGAGCGGGGAACAGAACAGGCAGATTGACCAAAGCACACTGCTAAGGAGAGCAGTGGGCGAGACAGGAGAGGTCTGCTACTCCATGTGGGTTGCTCCCTGGCCTGCTGGGGATTGAACTAATGCTACAGAGGCCGCGGACAGCTTCACAGGCTATGTCTTAACCCCTTGCACCACCAGGGAGGCCCAAACATTCTTTTCTACATGAATATCTAGTTGTCCTGGGACCATTTCCTGAAAAGATTGCCCTTTTTGTTGAATAGGTTTGACATCTTTGTTGAATAATTCCACAGATATGAATATATTTCTGGACTTTGAGTTTTATACTACTGATATTATTTCTATCCTTATGACAGTTACCACTGTCTTGATTACTGTAGCTTTGTAGCAGATTTTAGAATTGGGAAGTGTGAGTCCTCCAATTCAAATTTATATTTTAAAGACAAAACCAACAAGACTTGTTTGTAGATTTGATGGTAGTATGGAAAAATAACAAT